CCGAACGTGTGTATTGTCAAGTATAAGGACGGTATATTTGTACCTATTATACTTTTATCAATATTTAAGTTATCCTTCATATTTCATAATGTCCCAGTTTCATGGCGTAATTGTAATGGGATTAAACTTGAACAGCAAATTGCAATTATACTTACAATTACTTTTTATTCGCAAAGTTAAATTACAAATACAATTACAATTACTCAAAATTGTGTAATTACAACCAGTTTCAATTACAATTATTAACTGATCCAAGCTTGGGAGCTCCCTACTCAATGGCCGACCGCGGAACTCAGAGGACGATTGACGGATTAGGAGACGAGCAGTGACCTTACCCAGTATGATGCCTGTCTAATATACTATAGGACTAGCTGTCTGTCTGTCTGTCTGTCTGTCTGTTCTGGGCAGCCGAAACGGCACAATCGTTTTTCATCAAACTTGGTGGAAAAATCGCAAAAAATTCGTAGAGTGGAACAAACCTGTCCCATGTCGATGGTTTCTTTAGGAAGGCATTAATTAACCATTTTATTTACGCTGTCAAAAGATGTCGCTGTACAGTGTACACTGTTTGCTGGCCAGAGATTGCAGTTATCGTTCGGCTCCCTCCTCCTCCCACCACTTTTTCTCTTCGCCTACTTTTTTTTAATGTTTGGATTAGTAAAGGAAGGAAGATGAGTAAATAGAAGAAAAAAGAAGGGGGAACAGAAAATAGTTAGAGATAACGGGTGGGGGGGAGCTGAGTTTCATTATGCGTCTGGATGCGCAGTTTCAACGTTACCAGACGACCTTACAGCTTCAGTGTATACTTATTCCTGTGGCTGAGTTGTACATGAAAAAGGAGAAGTGATAAAAGGATAATAACAGGAATGCATGGAGAAGATAGAAAGGGAGAAGAGAAGGAGAAAAAACATTATTATCCTTAAGAGGCGAGCGAGGAAAGAAGATGGGAGAGAGGGATAGTGAGAGGTGGAGGTATGAATGGAGGGATGAGTTTTTTTAAGTTCCCAGAATTCCATATTAAAATCATCTATTTAATAAGGAAGAAAAGTGTTAAATATGATGGGTAGTGTAATGGAGAGAGAGATATATAAATAAAGATAGAGAGAGTATGGATAAAAATGGAGAGAGAGAGAAGTGGACAAAAAAAAAAGACATAATATAGACAGATTTAAGGACACACAGAAAGACAGACAGATAGACAGACTTATGAAAGACAAAGATATCAGACACATACATACAGACAGACAGACATGACTACACAGGGTGAAACTAGACAGTGAAACAGACAGGAGGTTGACAAAAATTGACAGATTCATACATGCACATTGCACAAATAGACAATATGGCAACTAACATGACAGACAGACATACAGACAGCTGACTGACTGGTTCACATTAGACAAACAGGCAGACACACGCCAACAACGGATAAGACAGACAGATTTGACGACACAAAGAGTACAGACGGGCTTACAGTCAAACACCACGCAGACGAACAGACAGTTGGGATGGCAATAGACAGGACGGATAGACTTGAGACAGATTAGAAGGCATTTATAAACAAGAATAACACCAAATTGACCATAGCTGCGTCAGTGAGGGTAGCTGGTCTTACACCCACCAGCGTAAATAATAAGACGAATTGAAAACTAACACCCTCGCACGGAAAGAACATCGATGGTCGGTCAGTCATGTGAGATGGGCCTAAAACTGACTAACGTAGATGATGACTATGATGACTTAACACAGGTGATGACTTAAGCAGATGGTGACTAATCTAACCAGAATCAAGGTCACTTTCTCTTCATAATATAATTTATCTTGGAATGATCATCGGTGATTCATAATAATTTTTTTCTATGATTTTAACCTCTCTCCTTATGGCGAATATTTCTTTAACTAATTATTCTAACCTTTATTCTATTCCTTCCTATAGTATACTAGATACTTACAGTATCCGTAAGACATTGGCTATTGAAAATGTGATTAAATGTTTTGTTATTAATCCAGTGTGAAACGTATCGGTATTGATGGTACAATCCTAATGGTCTCTAATCCTGTTGATTAGGTGAGGTTAATCTGGGTTTATTGAGAGTAAGGATTAGGTGTGGGGTTTATTCTACCTGTGTTAGTCTCAGGTACGACCCTTATTGTAACAATCACACGACCATGATTATAACAACCACACGACCATGATTATAACAACCACAACCATGATTATAACAACGACCATGATTATATCACCCACGACTATGATTATAACAAACACGACCATGATTATAACATGATTATAACAACCACGACCATGATTATAACAACCACGACCCATGATTATACGACTATGATTATATCACCCACGACCATGATTATAACAACCAGGAATATGATTATAACAACCACGACCATGATTATACCACGACCATGATCTACCACGACCATGATCATAATAACCACGACCATGATTATAACAACCACGACTATGATTATAACAACCACGACCATGATTATAACAACCACGACCATGATTATAACAACCACGACCATGATTATAACAACCACGACCATGATTATAACCCAGGCCATGATTATAACAACCACGACCATGATTATAACAACCACGACCATGATTATAACAACCACGACCATGATTATAACAAACCACGACCATGATTATAACAACCACGACCATGATTATAACCCACGACCATGATTATAACAACCAACCATGATTATAACACGACCATCTGGAAAACGATGTCGCTGTACGCTCAGCCGGACAACGGTTGTGCTCTAGCCAAGCACGAGCGTTGGAATTTTCACGTCTCGGTAAACTGTACCACAGGACTCGCCACCGGGCACGAAGGGCCCACGATCACTTGTGTTTACTATTGCGAGTTGACTTCTGTCGATTGTAAACAAACACAATAGTGCCACGCTGCACAAAACCTAACGAGACCCTGTAAACGCGCTAGTGAAGGGGACTGTATATCAACGCTATATCCCCGACAGCAACGGGTGAAGAGGCGTTACAATGTTTTGTTTATGTAGATCACGACAAACTGGGCATGTTCGCTCGCTACTCCTACTACCGACAGTGTAGCTACAGACAATACAAGAGGGAGACTTTGTTGCTATAGCTCTTGTCCTTTTCTGCCGTGACGCTGATAACTTGTTAAATATCTTGCCTTTTCTGTTGCGTTTTGGAGAACAAAGGGATTTTTTTTTATTCTTTGTCCTGTAGTGAGAATGAGTTTGTGTTATATTTTATTTTGTTCTTTTGCGACTTGGAGAACAGGAAGACTATTTAAGTTGTCATTTGTTTTGTTCTATAGTGACCCTGAGAACTTGTTATACCTCCTGTATTTTTCTGGTGCTCGATTTTATTACGCAATGAAGAACAAGAGGATGACACGTTATATACATACTATATTCACTCTCTACTGAGACGATGAGAAATTGTTGTGTTTTACTCAAAATCAAAGGAAAACGCAATACCCACTCTATCCTCAACATTGGAGTGAGTTCATTATACCTTGTCATGTTCTCTGTGGCATGGAAAACAAGCGTCAAACGTTATACAGGCGTTGTTGTTAATTTCCAAAGTTAATTGAACAAGAAAAAAATATGTAAAGAGATCCCTTGGTGGAGAACAAATGTAGAACGTTATTCAAGTGTCAGTATTCATTTCTGCAACTCAGTGAACAGGAATAAGCGAAGGCATTTTGATGACATCTGCTTGGTGAAGGATTCATTAACGAGTGATGAAAACACTTGGAAAAAAAGTCCAGTGGAAGAATTAAAGAAAGTAATTTTTTTTTTCATTGTCGTTTACTTCTACACTTAGCTGAACAAAAGGGGGGTTACATAAACCTTTTTCTTTGTCATTAATCACTAGACTTTCTTTTTATTTTGGCTAATTGAATGTATATTGGACGAAGGCGTTACAACTGCAGTATGTTTTTTTAGATTATCATACAGATCCGAGGCGCTGTTACTTATACTTCAAGCTCTGTAGGTGCATGTGACATCATAATCTGCCAATTGTTTCTTTCCAATGGTGGACAAAAATAAAAACAACTCTCACCATAACCTAACCCAGGACACGAGCAGAGAGACCAGACTTAGTTACATGAGACACTTAGTATAATTTCGATGTCCTTCATGGCTTTTCTCTGTTACGATGACAACTTAAGCGAGTCAGTTAAATTTATTCTCGCATCTACAGTTAGAGAAAAAAATGTAAGGCACGAAACTTTGAGAATTCATAACTCTGTCCCTTAAGTTACGTAAGGTAGTAAGGAGCTCTCTAGCCTCTCCATTTAAGGGGAAAAGTTTACGTACGAACCTTTCAGAATTGAGTATAACGTAGCTTATTCAGTCCACTTCGGCGCGTTCTTACATCACTAACTAAGGAAAGAAATTAACGTAGGAAAACTTTAAGTACCCACCATTGTATCGTCGCTTATGGTAGCCAGTCTTTGAAGGTTCTATCTTTGTGTAGTCGCTTTAGGTGGGCATTTAACTGCGTCTCCACATCACTATTTAAGTGTCTCAGAGGATATCCGGCCACAGTATGGTAGAGACTACAGTAGAGGCGCCGTGAAGCAAGCGGTGGGAATATGGCACTAGTCGCAGCAGTAAATCAGACGACTGTCGATAAAAGCAATTGTTTGATTATGTCCTCGCTTGGCGTAGAGGTCCAGCTGTTTGTACGCGCCCAAACTGTTTGTCGTGTCTCCGTATTCTAAAACGATTTTGCTTTTTATTTTCCTGAGTTGTAAGAGATGAGGAATCGAAATAATAATATTGTTGGTAATATTTTTTGAACACCTGATAGACACTGCATATATTCGTTCTACACTTTGTTTTTGCACCTACTCTCGATGTTTATAAACGATTGACACATCCAGGGAACGAAAATAATATCGACTATAAGCGTCCCTAACAGTGGAGGGTCATTAAGCTAGTAATCTATGGCGTTTATAACCGGGGAATAATGTACCCCGCGCGGCAGTGGTGTCTTGGCCGCGGTGGTGAGCGGACGCACGCACCTCTGGCTCTGGGATCCCTCCCTGGCCTCTCCCTACCTCCCTCACCTCCGAGCCTCTCACAACACTACGACAATACCGACTGCTGTTGCTTCTTGTGGACTCAGGATGGCATTCACGGGTATCGTGCACGCGTCGTATGACCATATGTCCCAGTGGCGTCATGTATTTACTGTGTGAATTCGAATAGAGCTCGGTGGATTATGATGAGTGCATGACACGAGAGTGTGGCAGTGACGCGGATAAACAGTTCTCGACTTTACAACATGTAGAAAATATCGAAAGGAACTTTAAATCCCGTGAATGGTTATGACTTTTATGGATATTCTGACCTTCACGTTGACTTGCAGTGAGGGGAAAAATAAGTGAACAGAAACTAAAAGTTTAAAACATATTTGAAAAACTGTGGATGGAAATTGCACTTACTCAGCCGCATATTTATAGTAATATGAATTACAGTAAAGTGTATATGTTTGAAGTTAACATTTTGTCGATCAAATCGTTTCGCTAGTTAAAGAAAGGACATAAATAAAACATCAAGTTTGGCGATAAGTTCATTGATGCTCTGTTGAAGTTATTCCTTTCTCTCTCTTCTCGTCTTTTTCTTTTCTTATCTCTATCTCTCCCTCACTCTTTCTCTCTTCGGTCTTCGAGTCGAGTGTTTGTATTTTTTTCTCCCAGGAAGGATCCTGGAAGGAATCATTCCGTCAGACAATCGTCTTGGGAACTCATTCCCTCACAGAATGAGCGCTTGTGTGAAGTTTAAATTGCAGCTCCAGCTCGACCTTAAGCTCTTAAAGAGCCTTTAATGACTGCTACAAGCGACGCAGTATGGCTAAGGAAACGGACAATGCAGTTCTTGACACAAACGAAAACAAAATCATTCTGTTTGTAGTTTAGTGGATACGTTGTGCATGCCTGTGTTTGGTTCTTTAATATTGTTCTTTAAGTATCGAATGGGAGGAAGAGTTACGGAATAATATCAGTCTTATCTTACCACAGATGGGAGGGAGTGCTTTCTATTTTGCTTTCCAAATATTGAATTGTTCTGGAAAGTTTATATATTTTATCACACTGGAAAAAAGATAGTAAATTATGTCTCTCTGCTCTCCTCCAGTACTGAAAGTCATAACAAAATCAATATTCATTTGACCTCAGAGTGAAAGGTTATTCATGTTTACATCTTTTACTCACCAAGACTTGAATAGTATAAGAAAGTCTGTCTAAAAACCACAGACGTAAAGAAAGTAACTCTGGTATATAATTATTTCTTATTTCGCTTTCCAAGTTTTATCGAATCACTACATAAACCCCGTGGGGATTAACCTCAGGGGGAAACTCAAGTCTGGTGTGGTGAATTTCGTAAGACTTTGGTTGTGTGAGTCTCAAATAACACCTTTGTATTTGAGAGAGAGAGATATAGAGAGAGACAGAGAGAGAGAGGCTAATGACGGATAAACTCGTTCTGTTGTTTTACCTGTGTGTTCGATGTTTTGAATTTTAATTAGCGTCCATTGCAAAATTGGGTTGAACTTATATTCACCAGCATTACATACGGAGTTAGTCACTAGTACAAAGTTTCCATTGCAAAAACCCCCCAAAAAACAAGGCATGGAAAAAAAAAGAGAACAAAAATATTATGTGAATCTCATTTGTTTATCGAAGTGTTTGGTTAGTTGTTAGTGATCAGATAATGTAAACTAGAGATGTGTAATTTTGTTTGGTTATATTTTGTTTAGCGTGTTGGGAAGTTGTTTTCGTGGTTTGTGTGAGTAATGGGTTAATTTACGGTGATAATTTTGTTATTCTTATATTTATTCATTTTTTTTCCTTTCGTTATCTGACTAACAATAGTCTCATTAACCTTCCTCACCTGATATGTTTGTTTCTAAAATTACCTGAATTAGTAATACTGTTAATGACATTCAATTAACGCTAATGATTACCCTGATGTGTATTGTTACTAGCTGAATTGGCCAGTTATGTGAATGGCAATCCTGACTCACACTCATTCACTCACTCACTTACCGAGCAATAGAATTTATCCACTCACTCACTCACTCACTCACTCACCGAGCAAAAGAACTTATCCTAATCCATCGACGGCGCAACTTGGTTCACCTAGTTGTGTCTGCAGCTCTATGAATGTTAATCCTAATTGATTGAATGACTAGAAATGCTTGACCGACTGACTGACTGACTGACTGATCGATCAAGATAACTAATCCTGACCAACCCGTAATGATGTAGTTTTGGTTTCTCTCTGTATATGAGTGATTGCATGGGTTCGAATCCTGTTCAGCCTTGACTCCCCTTGTGGGTAGTTTTATTACAAGTTTGGAATCATTTAATAATAAAGATTAAACTAAGATTCTTTTAATAATTTTTCTTAGGATTCTGAATCTTGTTATGGAATTCTGTTTGGTGTTTGTCATTTTTTATTACATCTGTTTGTCCTTTGAAGGTAATTTGAGTTTTCATTATATTGTTTCACTCTTTGGAATTGATCGACTTTTTTTTTTCTTTATTCGAGGTGAAATGGATTATTTTTCAATTAGCCTTGGAGTTTAATCAGTTTATTATTGGACTAGAAATAAAATCGAATTTCAATTACCTGTTTTTTTTAAATAATATAATCGCATATTTGCATTATTTTTATATTTGTAAGTATTTCGAATCTGGATTTGTTTTGGGGCATGTAATCACTTCTTTAATGGTGTTATTGGCTTGTAATCGATAACCAGTATTTTTCACATAAATGTAATCGATTCTCTCCCCCCAAAAAATTAGAATGTAATTGATTTTCTTGATAGTAACAATTTTTTCTTTGAATTGACTCGATTCATCATTCATTCGCTCTTGGAAAAAACCCGGAAGAAGGTCGATATTGCATGTTACGTTCCGGGAATGTAATGAGAATTGTATTAGTCCTTGAAAGGTGTTCGATCTTCTTAACTGTTTACACTTGTATTATGAACTCCCTATTGTCAAGATGTGTTTCTGTGTCTGGGAATGTAATCGATTATATAAACAACTTGAATATCTTTCAGCCAAATCAATAGACATTAGATCAAGAAGTCTTCAGTGTGGGCGGCGCAGGGAAACTTGTGCTACTCCGATAGTATAATTAATTCTGTTGAAATTGAGCCGTGACTGAAACTATCCCGAGGAGAACTTTTTTGGGGAGGGGGTTACTCCTACCTCCTACCTACTTCTGGCTCCTCTATCTTTTACTACTACAACGACACGACTTCAAGAAAAAATATTCCAAGTGGAGGAATATCCGGCGGTATACAGTATTTCTAAAAGGTAGTGTGATAGTTCTGTTCGGTGATCGTCCTCCTGGTAAGAAATGGAGAGACGCTCACAGTGATTGAAAATTAAAACCTGGTAAAGAGTGAGAGAGCTAAGAAAGAAAGAAAAAAGAGAAAAGAAAATAAGGAAAGAATAAAAGTGGGAGGAAAAATTTACTTCACATGCTCGATAAAGGACATAGTGTGGCCTCCGGGAACTCGAGTGGTCCAGTAAATGCAGAAGAAAATACGACTTGACGGGCACAAGCCAAAGACACACATTTCAGTGACTTAAAGATACGTTTAAAGAATTTCCCAAAGAAAGGTGGAGTTAATCTCGAGGACGATAACGCTGGGGAAAATCCGCGGCGAGTGTACGAGAGCCGGGATTGACAACAACAAAAACTAAACAAGCGAAAAGAAAATATTACCCAAATCTTCAGCTTGTAATTAAGATAGAGAAGGAAAGAAAGGTTATAATCTGTGGACGATATCACAGTCGGGAAAACCAAGCGGAGGAAGAAGCTGTTGAGAATAAAAGGAACTAAGTAAAGTAAGCGAAATTTGGAATTAAAGAAATAAAAAAACGCTTACGCCTCTGTACTCTCGACTAAGAGTAATAAAAGACACGTTTCTGTGATAGAGAAGAAGAAAAAAAGAGTTTAATCTGTGGACGATTTTACTGTAGAAAAATCCCAGCGAGCGGAAGGAAAGAGTGTAGCTTATCGTTGGCCTCAAGATGTGGGTCTCCGGCGAGAGTTCATGGAGCGTCCGTTTCTTCCTCCTGCTGGTTCTTCTGCATCTGAGCGGCACCCTCGCCTACTCCTACTGGGGTCAGCACAGAGGTGAGTGTTACCTTACAACGCCTTCCTATTTTACGATTTTTTCTTTTTTTCTCAACTTCTAATGCTCGCGTCCTGTTCCTAGGATCAGTGGCCGGGCACTCTCAGTTCACCTAGGTTTATAATTTGGGGAAATGAATGCGATCGAGTGTAGTACCGTCCATGCTGCCTCCTTATGTATCGAAGGTTTAGTTACAGTGTGCTGCATCCACACTGTCCCTAACGGGCAGTCGTGCAATAGCCTCTATCTTCCAGTAATGTTATTTTCTTAATAATGATTACGCTGTGTGTGTGTGTGTGTGTGTGTGTGTGTGTGTGTGTGTGTGTCTGTGTGTCTGTGTGTGTGTGTGTGTGTCTGTCGGTGGGTTTAGGTTAGCTTCAGGTGAGAAGAGTTTAGTTTCAGGCCAGGTTAACCTTTCGATGTCTCAAATAACATATCATTTGGAACAAGTAACGTCAAGAATGGAGGAGTTTGGTTGTGGAACCTCACACACATCAAACATTTCGACTCTTGAAGTTTGATCAATTAATTTCTTAGCCTGGAAAGTTTTACCTCAATTTGTTTCCATCTATTTTGATTGGAGTAATATTCGCCTTTGGAAATTCACTCTTGGGATAATTTCAATTTTATCTATTCACCCTCCGTCGTTTCTAGCGTTCAGTTCTCTAAAGTTTCGAGCCGTCCATCGACACACCTCTTGGTATTTAAACCAAAGAGCGTTTCTATCGCAAATATCTTAGCTAATTACTCTAAGGCCATAAACGTTTTAGTTTAAATATAATTTCAACTTGGAACGTTTTCATGAAGATGTTTCAGATACAAGCGTTTCCGTCTCTTACCACCTTAATGGAGGGCGTCTCCCAGCCCAGGCGTTCATCTCTCTGTGGACTTCGGCTTCGGACAATATAGCCTAAAAGGTTTCGATCCCTTCTATGTAAGCTTAACATTATTTTGCCCCGGATACTTTAAAGAGCTATTTTGTTTTTTTCTAAATAATTTGATATTTTCACCTTTTTTTCTATAATTAGTTCAGTTAAAATTAGAGAAGGATTTTGTCTTCCTTACAAACGTACGATAACACTTTCTTGAATACTGTAAAAGGAAACTTGAACACAGTCTTCCACTTTACGATCTGCCAAACCACTGTGTGTGTGTGTGTGTGTGTGTGTGTGTGTGTGTGTAAATTCACATCCTTATTCATCTATCCGTCTTTTTTTCAATTAATCATTCCCTGTTTACACAATTAATTTTCCATTTTAATTTCAAAAACAGATTTATTTATTTTTCATCTCAAACAACATTGATGAGAAACATAGAGTATTTTCTTTATATAAAAATACCAAAGTGCATTAATAAACAACTTAAATATTTCCTTTACTCTTAACTCAATATTATATTCGATATTTGTACTGGAAATATTTTGTTTTTAACTGTAATGGTAGACTTCAAAGGTTTATTTTTTATTTTTTTTTTTACATATATTCAAATAGGTTGCATTACTTCTTTATTGAGATTATAATATAACAATAATAACAATAACAACAATAATAATAATAATAATAATACAAATAATAATATTAAAATCCTTCTTTCACTGCAAAACCATAATACCAATTTATACTATACATATAAAATTTAAAATGCAGAAACATACAAGACGGCTCGTAGTATAGAGCAACACAACACCTGGTAAATTTACATACAGACACACACACACACACACACACACAGACTCACACATACACACACACACAGACTCACACACACACACACACACACACACACACACACACACACACACACACACATACAGACTCACACACACACACACACACACACACATACAGACTCACACACACCCACACATACAGACTCACACACACACACACACACACACACCACACATACAGACTCACACACACCCCACACATACAGACTCACACACACATACACACACACACACACACACACACACACACACACACATACAGACTCACACACACACACACACACACACACACACACACACACGTTGCAATTAATGAGAAAAACACTGACAATGTATCTCTAGGGAAGCATAAAATAATCTCTCTTATGTTATTACCTGAAGAAATGGAGCAATTACCTTTATTACTGTACATATTATCACATCTGTTATCTCTGATGCTTCGAGAGATAGACGAGAGAAGAGACTGTCTCGTGTTGTCTCCTGTCAAGGGGAAGATAATATATACTTTCCGTAAATGTTAAGTAAATGGATGTACTGTATATCGAGATTATTATTCACTATTTTTGTTCATTTATTGGGCACCCTCCTACATCCTTGTGTATGGTGAAGCGCAGAAGCGTTTACAGCGCCCAACAGGGAAACATGCTAAGTTCATGCTTGCCTATGTCTCATGAGTTAAGGGCGTAGAAGCCTGAAGAGTCAATGGTTTATGTCTAAGCAAGTTATTAGAAGCTCCAACAACTTGTCCCTGAATACGAATTCGCAACTTTCGACTTACAGCAGCTATGGCGGAGTGTTTGTAGGTGGAGGTTAAGTGGTGGTGTGAGGTTAAGTGGTGGTGGTGTGAGGATAAGTTGTAGTTGTGGAGGTTGAAGGGGAATAGAATGAGGGGAGGGGCAGTAGATGGGGAGGAACAGTAGATGGAGAGAGGGGCAGTAGATGGAGAGAGGGGCAGTAGATGGGGAGGAACAGTAGATGGAGAGAGGGGCAGTAGATGGAGAGGGGCAGTAGATGGGGAGGAACAGTAGATGGAGAGAGGGGCAGTAGATGGGGGAGAGGGCAGTAAATGGGGCTGGGCAGTAGATGAGTTAAGGGGCAGTAGATGAGAGAGGGGCGATGATGGAGAGGAACAGTAGATGAGAGAGAGGGGCAGTAGATGGGGGAGAGGGCAGTAAATGGGGATGGGCAGTAGATGAGTTAAGGGGCAGTAGATGAGAGGGGAGATGATGGGGAGGGGCAGTAGATGGGGAGGAACAGTAGATGGAGAGAGGGGCAGTAGATGGAGAGAGGGGCATGAAGAAATAGAGAAGTATGTCAAGATTATAGGATAGGTTGGGTTAGGTTAGGTTAGGTTTATGTTGTGATTATGTTGTGATTCTTCATGTTTCAGTAATGTTCACCCGTATTAAGATGTATATTTACAGTTGGTTTGTGTTGGTGTTCGTGGGTTTGTGTTTGTTTATCTGTGAGTGTGTGTGTGGGTGTGGGTGTGTGTGGGTGTGGGTGTGTGGGTGGGTGTGGGTGTGAGTGTGTGTGGGTGGGTGTGTGTGTGTGTGTGGTGTGTGTGGGTGTGTGTGGGTGTGGGTGTCGGTGTGTGTGTGTGGGTGTGTTGTGTGTGTGTGGGTGTGGGTGTGTGTGTGTGTGAGTGTGTGTGTGTGTGTGAGTGTGTGTGGGTGTGGGTGTGGGTGTCAGTGTGTTGCCATAAAATCGTGAGCATGACTCCATTCTTTATCCACAAACCAGAAAAAAAAACGACAACTATGACTCCATTAGCCAACCCAAAACTTCCGCTGTAGAAAATAGAAATGTGGTCATGATGGATTCCACGCTGCACGCCACCACCTTGCCTTACCTGTCTCTGTTGAATTATTTGCCTAAATTATACACCTGAATTATTAAACTGCTAACCTATATTCTATTTTAAACGAGATGCTTATTTTAAGAATCACAAACTGATTGGATGTTACTTTGAAAGTTATAAAACGTCAATCACACACACGCACACACGCATATATGGTTGAGTTTTGATTTGATAGCCCACGTAGTTTTAGAGGTAAGATTTATTTTCACAGCAACAGGCCGATTGTGTGTGGGTGTAATCCCCCCTCACCCCCCTCCCTTGCATGGTTGAACGTATATGTTGTAAAGTTTTAACTTCTGGCAAAGGTTAGACACAGAGATACAAGTACTGTAGACATGTTGAGAGATGTACCGTGTATAAAATTTGGTAGGGGCCAGAACGTAAATATTTTAGCCAGTGAGAGATATGAGAAGGGGGCTTGGGTTACCTACATCATGTTTTAAGACCTCCGCTACTTCATACTAGAGAGAGAGAGAGAGAGAGAGAGAGAGAGAGAGAGAGAGAGATTATTATTTTTTATTTAGTTGTGTGTCTATTGAAGAAAGTAAGAGTTAGTGAATGGTGTAAATGAAAGACTTTACCTGATGAAAAGTACCACAGTATATTATCAACAGTAGCATGCCTGTGTTTACCTTGTCTTTGCACTGAGAAAACACGTAGATAAAAAGTCAAATTATAAAGCATTTCTGAGCTTAATCACGATTTTTTTTTACCATTCTGATCTACACTATCATGCGCTAACTTGAAACTTATTCTAATCTAACTTCAAACTACCTTAAGCTAAGCTCAAACTAACTTAATCTTATCTCAAAATATCTTAATCTAACCTCAAACTAACCTAATCCAACTGTATTAACTATATAATGACGCTGTTTGTTTTTTACTACAATCACCTACAATTAACCTGGTGACTGGATTCTCACAATTTTATCAACAAGAGAATTTCCAAAGTTTGAAGCCTGTGTCGAATTATATATTTTCTATAAACTTTCATTTCGACAGGCTTACATGCAGTCGACTATCCAAGGATTTTTTTTTCCTGTGTAAAACCTATTCGCGGAAATTGATAAATGACTGAGATTAGATATTTTATTTTGACTGCTATGTAATGAATGTTTGTTTGTGGATTTATACTCGCAGCTATCATAGTTTCCAATTCTTCCTACGCAGTACATTAGCTATCTGTGGTTTTGCTAAATACCAATATGACAGGGATTACTTTCTTGCCAACCAGCAATACCACAGTACAACACTCTACCACACTAGCCACTACCACTGTCAGCACAACTACTACCCACTACACCACCACACACCACTACCCCACCACCACCACAACCCACCACCACCACCACAACAACCCACTGCCCCACCACTAACCCACTACCACCCACCACCCATTTACCACAACTACC